TTTTTATTTTTACTATTTATTAATTTTTTTTCTTTTTTTAATATTTTATAATATTATTAAAATCTTATAATTTTAATCTCTATAATTTTATCTTGTATAATTTAAATTATTTATTTTATAATTAAATTAACTTTTTTTTAAGTCTTTTATAAGTTTATATAAAAAATGTATTAAAATTCTTTCATCTCAACTCTTTTATTTTTTTTTCCTAATAAATGATTATAAGAATGATCACCACCAACCCCACCGTCGGAGCCGGTATGAGACCAAGCGAAACTAAACTAACGACAAGTCAAATCACAATTATCGCTTCATTAACTATATTTTCTCCTCCTCGATTTTCTCGACTTACAGACATAGCCCCGCATCATCCGACCAAACCCAACCCCGTTACTTGTCAGTCATTTCCTTTGCTTTCTTTCTTGCTTCGACGCTCATCTTTCAATCACGTGAATTTTGTAAGTTGTTTTGCGGAAAATAACAATTGGGGTTTCTCAAAATTCTTGCTTTCTGTATTTTGATCTATTAATATAGGAGCTTAGCTGTTGTAGGAGTTAGATGATGATGGTGGTGATGAATACGATGATTTTTTTATTTTTTATTTATTTCTTCCACTAATGTTCTGATAATGTTTTCTTTCTCTTTTTGGATTTTGGACTAATGAGTTTATGATTTTAATTTATCTGGTTTGTTAGAGATTAGGGGTATGCTGAAGTCTTCAGAATTGCTTGATTGTACTATTGTTCAACTTTAATGCCAACATCATGATGAAATCCATGTTTGAGTGTGGAAGCCAAGGTGCTAATGTTGAAGAAGGAGAAATTCATTGGAATAGTGGTCAGCTACTACTGCAAGACATTCAAGAAATAAGCAAAGCCCTTTACTTGAACAATACCCCTTCTAGGCCTTCCTATTCCTCGGTCCATAATCGATCCAAGTCTGCTGGTAAAGCCCGTTTGTCAGAGCCTCAAGTTGCCTTCACCACAGGATTTCGAAACGAAGATCTGTTGCCTAAGGACAAGAAATTGTCTTCTGTATGGAATTGGAAGAAGCCATTGAAAGCTTTGACCCATATTGGTGATCAAAAGTTTAAATGTTGCTTTAATCTTCATGTCCACTCAATTGAGGGTCTGCCTTTGAATTTTGATGGTGTTAGGTTGAGTGTGCATTGGAAAAGGAAAAGCAACATTTTGCAAACACACCCATCAAGGGTTTTCCAGGGTGTTGCCGAGTTCAATGAAACTTTGAGTCACGGATGTTCTGTTTATGTTAGCCGCGCTGTGTCTGGTCACTCTGTCAAGTATGAGTCCAAGATATTCTTGATTTATGCCTCTATCGTAGGGGCACCTGAACATGAGATAGGGAACCATCAGGTTGATCTCACAAGGCTTTTACCTCTGACTTTAGCAGAGTTAGGGGGTAATAGAAGTTCAGGGAAATGGACCACAAGTTTTAGGTTGGCAGGAAAAGCTGTAGGAGCTAGCCTAAATGTTAGTTTCAGCTATCAAGTAATGAAGGGTGAGTTAATGGAATTTGGTGGCAATAATTTAAATGTTCTCAACCTTGTTAATTTGAAGCCAGGCAGGCCAAGCAGTACAAGCAGTGTTATGGATTTTAGTCCTAACCCTTTTCATTCTGATGATGTGAATTTATCCCATGAAGCATTGATGAGTTCTGGCCCAAGTCTTTCCAAATCAATCAGTTTCCTATATCAAAAACTTGATGAGGGGAACTTCAATAATTTAGCACAGGAAGACTTGGAACAGTTGGGACCACTTAAATCCCATGTTGTGGAATCAGAGTCACCTCAAGAATCAAATCAACATGAACCTGATGACACTGAATTTTCCTTTATCCCACAAGTAGAAACATTGGGAGGGGATTCCTTAAAACTTGATCAGACAGGAAATGAAACAGTTGATTTTTCAACAGTTGAAATCATTAATGTGGATGATATTATAAAAGATGATGATGTATTTGTTGACAAGAATTCAGGATGTGATTCAATGGATAACATATGTACTAGTTGTGTAGATGGGACTACCGCAGATGACAGCAAACTCAAATGCAGTAGTTCATGCGTCAGATCTCGTCCATTATGTGCATGGAATGTATCTTGCGCGGCTTAGCTATCTCGACTAGACTCTGGTAGTATGTCCTTCTAGTGAGAGTGCGTAGAGGGTGTGACCCGGCATATACTCTTAGACTACTCTACGTGTGTTTCTAGCGGCAATGCACCATGTGATGTGTTACTGGCACCACATGCATGATAATATGTAGTTCGTGTCCATTACATGTTCATTTTAATGTTAAATGTTAAAGTGATTTTAATGTCTTGGATGAGTGGGATGTGATATTGTTGTTAATCCAGCTATGCTATGTATATATACATGTCTTGTTTGTGTTATGCTATCCGATGTGTATTCCTACACCGTGAGCCAGAGTGAGATGTTTCTCATTCCTTTTTCTTTTGTGTTGTTTTCCTTTGGTTGTTGTACAGGTGATCATCAGCATGAGGCTGAGGATGTTGGTGATGAGCTTAGGCTTCAATGTTGGGTTTCACTCTGATGGGACATGTGATATCCGGACGTAGATAAGATTAGATTAGGATATTATTGCTATTAAATTATTTTGAAAACCTTAGCCTTAGTTCTTTTGTAATTTTTGCAGATTATGTTATTTGTTTAAGTTATGGATGTGGTGCTCTCTATCTAAATACGGTTGGTATTTTAATAATGAAAGATTATGTTATTCAAATTTTATTATTTGTGTTATGGTATGCAAGGTAGAGGGTGTCACAGTTGGCTCTATGGTGAAAACTGAAGTGGCTTAGAGATAACATGTTGCCATTACCAGAACAACCATTAGATGAACAAGTTCATGCCCATGTTAGGGCATATGTATTAGGTTTGATTGGAGGTGTTTTGATGCCTAACAAAATAGGCAATAAAGTTCATCTTATGTATTTATCTTTACTAACTAACCTTAGAAGAACTAGAAGATATAGTTGGGAGAGTGCTTGTTTAGCTATGTTGTACGGGGAAATGTGCAGGGCAACGAAAGTTGGGAGCAAAACAATGAGTGGTTGTGCATCACTTTTAATGCCTTGGGCATGGTATCGCATGCCATATATTGCGCCAATTTCCAGTAATCCACCAACATACCCTTTAGTGTGTAGATGGAGCGAGGGTAGAGTGCTAAACTTTCCGAATAAACCTCATAATGATGTTGTGGGGTACAGAACCATGTTTGACCACATTCAAACTAATCAGGTAAATGTTCATAGCACAATTTTAAATTATTTTTATTTTCTTTTGTTTTACATATTATCTTAATTAACAAAAGTTATATATATTTTTTTGTAGTTTTTATGGGGCCTATATCAAGACTTGCAATGATAATAAAACGAGAAAAAGAGAATATGAAAAGGTGGTACTTTTATTCAGAATAATAGGAGCCATTTTAAAGGTAACAATTACACATTCATATTAAAATCATCATAAAGAGAAATAATTCAAAAGTTGTAACTGTCATTGCAGTAAAGAAATACATTTATTAACCAATTAAAACAGAGTTACAAAATATAAAATATCAACAGACCCTCCCTTAAACTGATGTTTACTAACATTCAGTTTAAAGGCTTCACAAAATTTAGCATGCAGGCCCCAAGAAACCTTTTGTGCTTCATGAATGACTCTCTCTTGAGTGCTTTGGTGAAAATATCAGAAACTTGATCTTCACTCCAACAATAAATCAATTTAATGGCTCCATCATTTCTCAAATCTCCTAGAAAATAAATCTTGACATCAATGTGTTTACTTCTTCCATATAGTACTAGATTCTTTGAAAGTTTGATTGCTAAATTATTGTCACAAAATATCCTAGTAGTGCCATGTTGCTGGAATTTCAACTCTTCAAGGATTCTCCTTAGCCATATGGCTTGACAAGCACAAGAAATTGTTGCAACAAATTTTGCTTCTGTGCTTGATAAAGTAACAATAGGTTGGTTTTTAGAGAACCAAGAGACAACGCCTGTGCCAAGCATGAAAACACACCCTGAAGTACTCTTTCTATCATCTTGATCTCCTACATAATCACTATCAGTGAACCCTAATAGATTGAACTTTTCACATTTCTTGTAAAATAGTCCAAACTCTCTTATTCCTTGCAAGTAACGAAGGATTCTTTTAGCAGCAAGTAAATGCATTTCTGTAGGATTCTCCATGTACTTGCTAATCAAACTTACAGAATACATTATATTTGGTCTAGTTATAGTTAGATATATTAAGCTACCTACAATCTGTTTGTAAAGTGTACTGTTTATTTTTTTCCTTCATGATCTTTGCATAACTTAAAACCACACTCTAGTGGAGTGTTTGCAGAATTGAAATCATGCATATGAAATCCTTTTAGAATTTCTCCCACATATTTATTTTGAGAAAGAAAAATTCCACTTTTTGATTGCACTATTTCTATGCCAAGAAAGTAGAGCACCATGCCAAGATTAGTCATTTCAAATTCATTCATCGTAGACTTCTTGAATTCATTAAACATGAAACTATAATTTTCAGTAAACATAAGATCATCAACGTACAAGCATGCTATAAGAAATTTTCCTTTTTCTCCAGATTTAACAAATAATGAATGCTTATAAGGACACTTTGTAAAACCAGCTTTTATGAAATAAGACTCAATGCGACTATACCAAGCTCGAGGGGCTTGTTTTAGCCCATAAAGAGCCTTTTTTAGTTTGTAAACTTTGTTCTCATTTCCTATTTTCACATAGCCAGGGGTTTGATCAATAAATACATGTTCCTCCAAGTAACCATGTAAAAATGTTGATTTTACATCTAGTTGAAAAATAGGCCAAACATTTTGTGCCACTAATGCAACTACCAACCTGATTGTGTCATTCCTTGCAACTGGTGAAAAAACTTCTGTGTAATCAACCCCATATTGTTGATTGTAACCCTTAGCCACCAAACGTGCCTTATACTTATCCACTTCACCATTTTCTTTCAGTTTTGTTTTGAAAACTCATTTCACTCCTATGGTATTGTGCCCATTTAGAAGATCACACAGTTCCCAAGTATCATTTCTTTCAATGGAATCAATTTCATCATCCATCACTGTTCTCCATTTTTCTTTTTTAACAACACTTTCAAAGGTTGTAGGGTCACTTTCTGAAAACAAAGCAAAATGAGTAATGGGGTCTTCAATACCTGTTACCTCAAAATCAGACATCCATGTAGGCCTTCTCCTTGCACGTTGAGGTCTCTCTTCTTCAGACGTGGTTGTTAGAATTTGTTGTTCTTCTAGCTCCATTGGCTGTGACTCTTCATCTTCATTATCTCCATCAAAGTTTGCAAGTATTTGCTTTGTTTCATCTGTTATTTTCCCAAAATCTTTCTTCATTGCAAACAGCAACACGACTAATAATGATCTTTTAGTGATAGGATTATATAGTTTATATGCTTTTGATTGATCACTAACACCAAGAAAGATACATTTTTCACCTTTGTCATCAAGCTTTGATCTTTTCTTGTCAGGAATATGAGCATAAGCAATGCACCCAAAAATCCTGAAATGGTCCACAGTTGGTTTTCTTCTGCTCCATGCCTCCTCTGGTGTCATATTCTTCACAACAAATGTGGGGCTTCTATTTAGAATGTGCACGCTCAAGTTAACAGCTTCAGGCCAAAAATATTTTGAAACACCACTCTTAGTCAAGAGGCTCCGTACCATGTTGAGAATGGTTCTATTTTTCCTCTCTGAGACACCATTTTGTTGTGGTGTATATGTTGTTGTTAACTCCTTCCAGATTCTGTGTTTTCACAAAAAATAGAAAATTCATTTGAACAATACTCTCCACCACGGTCTGTTTGAAGAGACTTAATAATCTTTCCCGATTCAGTTTCAACTCGAGCTTTGAAGCTTTTGAATGAAGAGAGAGCTTCAGATTTTTCCTGCGAAAAATAGTCCCAAGTTTTTCTAGAAAAATCATCTGTGAAAGTAATTAAGTATTTTTTACCTCCATTAGACGAAGGATTTATTAGACCGCAAATATCATAATGAACCAATTCCAAAACACTCTTTGCTCTCCATGATTTTCCATTAGGGAATTGAGAATGATGTTGTTTGCTAACAACACATTCTTCACATATATGAGAAGGAACAGTAATTTGTGGAAGGCCTGTTACCATGTCTTTTTGTTCAAGGGTCTTCAGTCCACTAAAGCTCAAATGACCATAACGATATGCCACAACCAAGCAGAATCAGTAGCTTTAGCCAACAAACCAGATTGAATGCTTTCAATTTTCAATGGGAATAACCTGTTTGAACTCATTTTTACAATTGCAATAGCACCTCGAACAGGATCAATAATTTCACAATAACCTTTGCTAATAAAAATTTCATAACCTTTTTCTTGTAATTGACCAGCACTTAACAAGTTTCTTTTCAAGTCAGGGACATAAAGCACATTAGAAATTGTTTCTACAAAACCATTCTTGGTTTTTAATTTTATATCACCTTTTCCCATCACTTTCACAGTAGAGCAATCACCAAAGCTCACGGTAGAATGAAAATTTTCATTTAAATATGAGAAAGAGGACTTACTTCCACTCATGTGATTACTACAGCCAGTATCAACATACCAAATTTTTGCCTCGCTGTCTTTTGCATCTTCAACTGCCATCAATAGGGTTTCTACTTCTTTCTCCTTGATAAAATTTGAACTTTCACGCTTTTCTTTAAGATTAGGCAGTCTAGTATAACATTCAGAAGCATAATGACCAAATTTATGACATCTAAAGCATTCTACCTTTCATTTATTATGATTTCTCCCTCTATCATTGCCTTGAAATTGGTCATGGTTGCCTCTAGAGTTCTTGCTAAAATCTCTATTTCCATGACCTCCACACCCACATCCTCTACCTCTACCTCTACCCTTTCCTCTAGAGTTGTATGAAGGAGTATTGGTAGAAGCCTTCAATGCTTGTTCCCCCATTGTTGAACTTCTATTCATCTTTTGTTCATGGACCAACAAAGAATTTTGAAGCTCATCTAGGGAGAGATCTTCAATATCATTTGACTCTTCAATTGAGCACACCACATAATCAAACTTTGGTGTTAAGGAGCGTAGGATTTTTTCAACAATGGCTATATCATTCATTTTTTCACCATGAAATCGCATACTGTTAGCAATATCCATGGTCCTTGAACAATAGTCAGTTACAGACTCACCATCCTTCATTTGAAGGACTTCAAAGTCTTTTCTCAAAGCTTGAAGTTGAGCACGTTTAACTCTCGAGGAGCCTTGATATTTTTTTTCATTGAATCCCAAATATCCTTGGAAGTATCTTTATAAAGAATAGTTTCAAGGATAGATCGATCAATAGCTTGAAACAAATAATTCTTGGCTTTCAAGTCTTTCAATTTCATCACATCAAGCTCCTTTTGTTGGGCATCTGTAAGAGTTGCACCATCCCCTGGTGTTGCCACACCATCTGCAACAACCTACCAGAACTCCTTGGATCTCAAGAGATTCTTTATCAGCATGCTCCAATGGTCATAGTGACCATCAAAACGTGGAATGGCTGGCTGCACAAAATTTTCAGAAGTCATTGGTGGGATAATTGTTCTCTCTCTCCTTTTTTTTACACTCTTGGACTACTGCCTTTCTCTTAACCTAGCTCTTGATACCACTGATAATAAAATGAGAAAAGAGAATATGAAAAGGTGGTACTTTTATTCAGAATAATAGGAGCCATTTTAAAGGTAATAGTTACACATTCATATTAAATTCATCATAAAGAGAAATAATTCAAAAAATTGTAACTATCATTGCAGTAAAGCAATACACTTATTAACCAATTAAAACAGAGTTACAAAATACAAAATATCAACATGCAACCCTCAATACCCATGGAAGCTTATAGAGATGCACAATTGTGGACTTCATGTACTGCCACCCTTTGCTTTGCAATTGTTGAATGGCATCAAACAGATAGAGTCAGATTACAGTTTAGGTTCTTCCAAGAAGCCCCTTCTCCACCTAACAATTTGGACGATCTCCACGTAATTGACATGATAGGAAGACAAGATGAAAATTGGATCATAAGACATGCACACTAGATAGATGTGTGGAACAATAGGCGTGAACTGACATTAAAGGGTCATCCAATGCAAGACCCATTGTGTCACACACGAGAATACATGGAATGGTACATTGTCAATTCCATCCATTTCCTATCTATGACACCACTACTACAAGATCCAACGAGGAGCCATCAACAACTAGGGACGACCACATCATTTGATACCGGTACGTCTTCCACACGATCATATCTCAAGACTACATCATTTCCTCCACCAAACATCACGCCTGAAGCAAACATAATTGATAGAAGGCATTCGTTTACAACTACTTCAGATGAATTTTTCACAAACTTATTTGGAGTTGATTTTACAACTTCATCTTCAGCACAAAGTTACATGCAGTCTCTTTATCAACCGAATTTTGCAAATAAACCTGATAGCTCCTCAAATGCTTTCCAACAAATGGCCCTTCAAAATGACCTAAATCCTCCACAACTTGATCCTGGATTCCAAGGGCAAGAACCACAATGAAAAAATTCACCACGTAACAGACGTCGTCCTTGTTGTGGAACTGGTCACTATTACGGAGATAGTTAATAATTACATGTAAAACATTGCGAAGCTTTCTTGCAAGTTATAATTTTTTCAATTCAAAAATTTTAAATAGCAAGTATCCATCTCATTCAAAAACGTTCATTTCTGGAAAATATCTAACTTATTAATTTTTTAACTTATTAAAATTCTAATTTATTATAAATATAACTATTTTTAATATTTAATTTATATATATATATATATATATATATATATATATTAAAATTACTGGGAAAAAAAAAGTTTAATCCTTGCACGGAATTTTAATTTCGAGGGATCAAATTTCGGCAGGAAAAATGTATTACCTTCAAACATTCAATTGAGAAATTTATGTTACTGTGCTAGTCAAAATTCGATTCTCATGAGAACGAATTCTGATCATGCATAATAAAGTAGTTTATTTTTGTAAATAAATTAGCGGAAGGTTTATTTTTGTATTTTTTTTTTAAAAAAAATTCTAGTACAGTAAAAAATTCTTCTAAGGGTGGTGGTAATTAAAGGGGCATGGATTATTCAAAAAAGAAATTAAAGATTCTGGAGGAAACTAATAACGTGCTGAATAAAACAAAAAAAATTAAACATTATTATCAGAATCTTAAAAAAAATAATACACCTAATTTTCATATTATTAATATTTTCTTTTCAAATATTGATTATTTGGTAAATAGTAATTAAGTGAAAAATAATTAATCTTAAAAAATTCAAAATTATCGATAACTTAGTGTTACTAATTAAATTAACTTTTTTTAAAAGATGAATGAGTCTTATATAAAGATAAAACCGAGATAGTAATTATATTTCTTTGTTGTATAATTAAGAAATGCTTTTTAATCAAATTATCCCATTTAATTTCTTACATGAAAGATTAACTTTAGTTAATGTAATGATGTTATAGTATGCAGATCAATTAGTATCCAAAACATACTTATGTTATTGGATATACTTAGGAACACAAGATATTTATTTAGAACCGATATGGGTATACACATGATTAGATAGAGACATAATGAACCCAAAAAATGCGTGACCAAAACTATGAACCAGATGTAGCTTTGCTAGGTAAAGCTATATGAAATGTTCTGACTGCTAATAAAAGGCTGAGTCTTCATTTAATCTGCAAAATCTCTGCTCAAAAAGATTTTAGTTTCTTTACTGCGTGAAATACTATATATGATGAAATTCTAAATTGGAAGATGTCCTAAAAATGAAAACTGGTGATGCTCAAACAAGTTTTTGGAACCAGCTTTTTATATTAAAACAACCACTTTGTGCTATAATGTATCTATGGTGGATGTCCATGGTAATTGTCACAAGATATGTGATCTATACAGAGTAATTACAAATCATTGCAAAAATAAATTTGTGTTCAAGAGATACTTAAGTTTAGATATATCATACTTTAAGATAATACATAATTCTTTCTCATTTAACACAACTCACTGCAACACGATCATACAACCAAACAAAAAAGAACCTTCTAACAACTAAAAGGCAAGTCTCTGCCTCAAACATGGAGAATCCCCTTAACAAGAGAAAACACTTTTATTTGTACAGTAGTTCCAACAAGTTCCTCATGCAACTTTAACTTCAATGGTCTTTGGTTTCTTGGGCTGAGGAGGAGGCAGTTTCTGCACCGTAACACTTAGCACACCATCTTGACACACAGCAGAGATTGCATCAGTGTTTGCATTCTCAGGAAGAATAAACTTTCGCATGAACTTTCCGACCCTTCTTTCCATTCTGAGATACTTGGAGCCTTCTTTCTCCTCCTCCCTCTTTCTCTCCCCACTGATGAGAAGCACGTTGTCATCCTCCACTTGAACCTTAATGTCCCCAGATTTCAGCCCCGGCATGTCGATCTCGAACACGTAAGACTTGGGACACTCTTTCACATCCGCGGGTGTCGCAGCCATGGCCTTGGCGTCCCGAACGTAAGACCGTGTTGGGGCGTTGTGTGTCTTGTCTCCTGCCCCGTCGTCCGAAAGATCCATCATGTGTTGCAGCGTGTGAAACAACGGAGACTCCAAACCCATCACGCGGAAATCCATTACTTTGGTGAATTCGGAACTTTTCGAATTAGCGTTGGTTGCTGTGTTTCTTATGTTTGTGTGTCCACGGAATGGGTATTTGAATGGAGAAGATGAATCATTCGAGAAAGAAATGGAAGCTTCTGGAGGAAATTAATGAGTACCGTGGAACTTCCAGCAGCTTCGGTTACGCTGCCTTTTTCTGTTCTTCTACAACCTTCCAGAATCTTGGGGTGTCATCTAGGCAAAAATGAGTTTTTTTTCTTTTTTACTTATTAATATTTAATTTATTTATTTATTTATTTACACAACTTAAAATGCTATGACATTTGTGCTATCTTTTCAAAATTTCACACTGTTAAGTCGATTTTAAAAATTCAATTTTTAAAATGTTAGATGAATAAAATAATACTATTTAGAATTTAATTTAAATATGTTTACATCGTAATTATCATTTAATTATATGCAATTGCGTTAAGCAATTTCACTGAAAAAGTAAAATTTATTCGAAATAGGACTTTATAATCTTCAATTCATTCGACCGATAATTTGTTTGGTTTTTAATTTTTTATAGACCTTTACCCTCACTTTTTTCCAGTGAAGAGGTGTGTGGATCTGTTAGTAATGTGGGCTCAGTCCAGGACAAGAAACAGATAGACTCGCACTATCCACGGAAGACGGGCTTTCAATGTTTGGGCTATCCATTAATGTTGTTTCCGTTCAGTTTCTGTTAGATAGTATCAATACTATTCATGAGAGACTGATGTAGTAGTTCTTTTTTTCTGTTTTGGGATTTTTTGTCCCTTTAATTGATCAAAAGTAAAAAAATAAAACTAAACTAGCCATAGCTATTTTTGTTTTCTATCCATCCTTATATATGATTATAAATTTAAGTAATAACAAATGTTTTAAGGTACTTCTTTCTATATTAAATATTTTTTATTTTATATTTATTATTTCATTTAAATATAATATATTTTTAGTTCCTACAAAATAAGCAAGTTTTGATTTAGAATCATACATTTTTTTCACCCTCTAAAATTTAGAATTATTGTTTTTAGTCTCCATTATCATATAGTCATTGTTAATTACTTGTTTATTCATTAAAAGGTTTAGTATTTTTCTTAGGTATTATTTATAACTGATAATGATACCATATTAGTGTGTGACATATTTAAAAAGTATCTTAAGCTTTTAAAATAAATATTATTTATGCATACATTTCAAAATCATTGTTTGATACAAAAAATAGTTATTTTAGATTTTAGATAGATAATAATTAAAGAAAATCATTTTTTTAGAGACCAAAACTAAAATTTACAAGGACTAAAGATATTTTATAATGACAGAAAATAATGTTTAGAAAGTTTAGAAGGATAAAAAATAAATAATTTTTATACATGAACTTAAACCAAAACTAATCATTCACTATCACAAAAGTATTGTTCTACAATATAATTTCTACATCAATTAGCATAAAAATAATGTAGAAATAAAATATAATAACATTTTTGTAATTAAATGTAAAAAAAATTAGTATATTGCATCATTTTTAAGGAGAAATAATATAAATATGGAGTGTTTTACATCAGTTTATTTAAGAACTGATGTAGTGTTGCTCGAACTTCTAATCCTTGAAAATACTTATCCTCAAGGTAAGTCGCTCAACAAGGAGTCGGAGGAGGTCCTTCGCTCCAAGCCCTTCATCCTCACCCTCATTGATGAGCTCAAGAAGCTCTACCGGCCTCTTTCCACAACCTTTAAGGAGTTTGAAGTCTCAACGATAGCACATAATTACTGCAACTCAGCAACCTTAGCCGAGAACTTTGGCTCGAGTGAGTCGATGCACTCGAACAATTTCGTTTTGGAGGACCTCCTCTAGATGATCTGCTTGGCTCGCTCTTTGACATGAAGAATGACTTCACCTCCACAATGCTTATTGCGGTTGCTACTTGACCTACGACTATGTCACCGACGACTCCACTAATATGGATTCAATCTCTACCTTGCACAACTAGCTTGTTTTGTGCTAATCAAAAAATAAAATAGGGTTATTGTATTTAGACGGTTTAAATGTTGGCAGATTAAATGATAATACAAGTGCAATGCATAATTTCTTTCATCTCTCTATTTATCTCTTACTTCTTTCTATCCTTTATTTTGTTATCCCTTTCCACCTTTTTTATCTTTGTCTTTCTTTTACCAACCTAAATTATATATCAGATTAAGTATGAACATGTTAATGAGAAAGTTAAAAAATAAAAAATAAAAAAAGCTCCCCATAAGACAATTCTCGATGATATTATGGCAATTACAACTATTAGTAGAAGCCTGTGATTGGTTTGGTTATGGTAGTAGGATCATTGTAACAACAAGGAGCACACATGCCAACCATTTGGGATACCAAAAAAACTAAACTAAACTGAAACATCTTATACTGCAGAAAATTGGAAAGAACAAGATTTAGACTTGTATTAAGTAGTTTTTTTTTCACAACCGAATTTCATTACCTAAAGCTTTCTTAGGCACAAGTTTAGTCACAAGAGATTCAAATGTATTTTTGGTTAGAGCCTTAATCATTATTTGTACCAACTAGTTTTAAGAGTTGCAATGAATAAACTAACTTAACCAACTTCCATGTTGGACAGGATTTTGAAAGGCAGTAATAACTTATTTATTGTTATCCCCACAATGAATATCTTCATTACAAGTGTGTCATTATGTATTTGGGTTTTTCTTAGCCAAATATCTTGTTTACTATTGTTGTTGTTAAGATATTTTGTTACTTTAGGAGAGGATTGATTTGAGCTACCACATTTTGTTTGTATTTATCATATTTACAATCATTAATTTTCCTTTGCATGAATATGCATATGTTTTTGATCAATTGAGGTTGCAAGTTTTCTGCCCGATAAAATCCAATTCATTGATGCCTAGTTCTACGTACTCTAAGAAATCCTTTTGGTTGATAATATTGGAAAAAAAAACATATTGTGAAGGCCAATATTTACTAAAGAATTCCTAATGTGAAAAAATATATTTCTCCATAATATGATTCTTTTGGTTTGTGAATGATGTTGTTGATGGACCACAGATTGGATTGTATCTAGTGTTAGAGTCACTATAACACAGAGAAGGAATAAATAAACATGTCAAGCTACTACCTTGAAATAAATCATGCTAATTAAAATAAGCTGAACTAAATAGAGCATATGTTTTTACAGGCTTGTATTTACCTTTTTTTTTTTTACAACATTTGAATATCATTTACTTGAGTTTTATTGGACACATAAACCAACACCTTAAACATTTAAACAGAGCCCAAAATTAAGTTATGAACTTCAAGATCATTACTATTTTTGCTATCAAAATATTTGTCCTAAAATTTCATACAATATAAGAACATGACAACCCTAGAAGTTTATCCTTAAACATCCTAGTGCTAAGAGATTCAAATGTATTTTTAATAACTACCTGATGTGTTGATACTCTAGTCTAAAGTGATGTAATTAATAGTGAAAACACATCATAGGAGGATCTCTGTAATCAAAGAAGCTTATTTGAATTGAAACAACCAACAATTGCTATAAAATTTCATCTTGCAATATGTTAGCTGTTTTGACATCAAGATACATAATTTTATAATAATATTGTTTATGAAAATAAATCATATCTCTAGCAGCATCCATATCCCTGAATAAATGCATAAACATAACGATAGTAATAAGTTAATGTTTTTAATGATTTTGAGAAATCAGACTATAATTATCGATCATAATAAGTAGATTAAGGCCATTATTTTTAGTGCCAACTTCCCCAGTTTTTTCTTTCCTTTTATATAAGTATTGTACTTTCTTTTTTTACTTCTATGACTTTATTTGATGGTTATTATAATATTAATTTTAATGATGGGTATTAAAAACAATTATATATATATATAT